AGTGCCATCGAGGAGTAAGGGATCTTTTTTCGTCCCAGCACCTACTGCGACATGGGGCTTCGGCTTTTACGGTCTCATCCGAAGGTCCATTTTCTACGTTTCACAATGGGATTCGAACCCGCGACGTACGGATCGCTTTGCGACTTGAGAGCAGACGCTCTTACCACTACACTGCGTGCACAACGCAGTGATTCAGTGAATATTACATCCATATGGAAAATTTTTAAACAATGTTAAATAATAAATAATTTACTCAAATCAATTAACACATTATTTATTTTCCAAAAGATAAATAAATTAATGAACCTGATTTAATTTCGCTTTTCTCATGATAACGTTTCAGAGAGTGCAATGTTCAGAAACCTTCCAAATATTAACTTTTCAAACAAAAAATGGTTTAAGGTAAGTCACTCCTAAAATTTGTTAAATCGAGGATTTTTTGAGAAGTAAATTTTGGATAAGTGCTCATAAAGTGTAACTCAAAATCGCAAAGAAAATAGGGGGTCAGTGTGCATCCTACTGATCTACGGTACATTTAAGTTGGCCTTTTTGCACTTAAATTTCATCTCTGGTTAATAACTTTAACCCTTATTATATTTGATCAGATGTAAGCATGGCAATAAATATAATCTTATTTTATGTAAAATAGTTTGAATAATATTTATCAATAAACAAATTAATGCGTGTAACTTATTGTGTGACCTTTTTGCACAAAAAAAAATAATATATTTGGAGTATTAAAAAACTTTATAGGTAATATTTTTTTTTATCAAACTTTTTACTACTTAAGTGCTGATTAATCACAAGTATCGAGTAGTTTAAAATAATGAAAGAAAAAGGTGGGGTCAGTGATGTTAATTTTGAAATATTTGTCAAAACATGTGATTTTCAGGCGAAAAATGGTGTAAATTTGATGTTGACTTCTTTAATATATTTACATTTTTTAGAAACGTTTGTTGAGGGAAGGTGTAAAACTTAGTCTAAAAATATAAATTATGACCTATATTAAATATTTTTAGCAATATCAAAACGGAAAATATTCTCCTAGTAAAAGTATGTGAGGCTAAATTTCCATTACATTAAATTTTTTATAAATGTGTAGATTTGCAGAATTTTCTGCTAAATATCCTTCCACCAAAAGAAATAGTCCGTCATAAATCTTGCTTCTTTGTAAATTTTTGAGCAGTTTTTTCATTGAATGTTAAAAAAATTACATTGTTGAATTTAAATATGTTATAAAATTTGAATTTTAATAAGTAGTTTTGAAGTAAAAGCTTCTGCGTGAACTTTTCTAAAAAGCTGACGAGTGACTTACCTTAAATTAATAATAACTAATTAATTATTGATCTAGATACCGTGTGACGTTTAATTAGTTAGCAATAATGACTTCCATTCATATGTCGACTTGACATATCACAGTTAATTTGAAATAAAATGGAAATTAATGAAGTTGTAAAGAGAAAATCACAGAAAAAATAAGATAATAATACAACGTTTACATTGTATTTACTCTTTTTTTGTACAACTCGTGAAAGTAAAATAAATTTTCAAAGTATAAATTATTGACCACTTTTATTTTCGCCTAGGTTTCTGAAAGTAGAAATCCAGAAAAGCTGTTGGCAGTGTAACGTATATCCACTTTTTTTTTTATTATTTTGTGGATGTGACTTGATAAATAAACGATCGTCTGTTTGCAAAAACAGGCTGACCATATTGCTGCCTATTTATAGTCTGTAATTTCTGGTGCCAGGGCCTCATTTACCAACAATAGAATACTCAAATACGTTTTGCCTGGAACTTCAACAAAGAAGAAAAAGACGTAATTTCCAGACACAGGCACTGTAAATATCTCTGTAGCAGGATTTTATCATTTTCCAACATTATTCAGAACATTCTTAAATACAATGACCTGGTTTGGTCCCGTGATCGTTCGCTTCTCATTGCTCTCTGCTCTCACTGAGAACGTCACTGTTATTCTTATCGCTAAAAATTAACAAATAACAATATAGCATTGATCATTTGATTCATTGTGAGATGCTATTTCCAAAAAATGTATTTATAATTGCATTCTTCGAGCCCTTAATAAACATTGATTGTAGTATACATTCTTAAATACATATGGACATTTGATTAGAAGACTGTTTATGACTGCAAAGTATACTGCTTCTAAAGTATAATTTCTAAACAGTATTGGGGAACCTTAATAGTTATCATATGTTTTACGGTGGTTAAACTCAAACATATAGTCAAAATATTCGAAAGAATAACATCCTTATAAAGAAAAAAGATCGAGAATTGTAATTAGCAAAGTCTTCTTTAAAGCAATACCGATGTCAGTATTTATACTCTACAGTAAGATTTCCCCTGTAAAGGAAATCTCAGAGTAGAGCCATATTTCCCTCTTGTTCTTTCTCAGAATAAGATTCTCCTTTTCTATCAATGTTCAAACAATTTCCACACTATTTGGTGAAAAGATTAGACGAAAGAAGACAAAATAAATATATTTATATAATTATACACATGTATTAATATTTAATAATAATCTTTTCGATTCAAGGACAATCAAATTTCTTTAAAAAATGAATGTTCACATAATTGATTTAATCTATTGGAGAAATCTTCTTCTAGGGCACACCAAAGTAATGATTGGTCATGTTTATATGGAAGTCTTTTACTTTTTGTTCAAACTTTAATTCTTGGGTTAGGATGAGGCCAACATATATTATCTCCATTTCACAAATACGTAGGAATATAAAAGGGGGAAATGATAAAATCAGAAGAGCCAAACATGTATTTGCTCATTTGAGCATTGTTGCCTCTTCGCCTCGTCTTGAGTATTTGAACCAAAAAACCCAAAAAATAACTTTAAAAAAAACCAATCAGTGCAAGATATTGCTTTGGAAGATGAAACATAAAAATATCCCCTTGACCCCAAGAGTGTTATTATACCGGATTTAAAATCAACATGCAAATACTCACAAAAGTTTTGTAATGATTCTTTTTATTATAAATAAAAAATTAAAATCCAATAAATCACCACTGTGGTTAATGGGACTTCCTTTTGCTTCGGCACACAAATCATGTTTAAATTCATATGTGGTCCCAACCTACCCTTAAAGGAGAAGGGGTATGATTTGATCAAACCTGAATCTACACTTACTATATGTAAAGATGTTTGTATGTTTTTATGAATAACTGTGGCTTTTACATTATGGTGATCCCTTCTACACCCCCCCCCCCCCTTGTCCTTCCCCCGGGGGCCATGATTTTAACAATTTAGAATATACACTTTTTAAGAATGCTTCCACTAAAGTTTCAGTTTTTCTGGCCCAGTAGTTCTGGGAAGATTTTATAGATTTTTTTTCTATATTTTTTCAAAGTAAAAATTGGATTCCCATTTGTTGCCCCACCCTAAAACCGGGAGTGATGATTTGCACACACATGAATCTACACTACCCGAAGATGTTTCCACATAAGTTCATTTTTTCCAGGCACAGTGGTTATTGAGAAGAAGATTTTTAAAACATGCCACCAATTTTTCCCTATTTTCAAAATATTTTCCCCTTGAATGAGGGTGTGGACCTTCATTTGAACAAATCTGAATCCCTTTCTCTCAAGGATGCGTTTTGGTAAGTTTGGTTGAAATTGCCCCGATGGTTCTTGAGAAGAAGACAAAAATGTAAAACGTTTAATTACAAACAGACGGACAGCTAGACACACCGAAGGACAGACAGATTATAGAGAAAATGTGATCAGAAAATCTCATTTTGGCTTTCAGCTCAGGTGAGCTAAAAAGGATAAAAAGGTGAATCTAAGATTTATCATGCACACCCAACTTTTATTGGAAATCATCTCTTAGCCCAAACATTTTAAGCAAATTCCTATAGACATGTCGAAAGTTATTGATATGAACAAATATTAAATGCAAAAATACGGACAATTTAATGATTTATTAATTTGATCTTAATGATTAAAATTGTCTCTAGAATCTCTTTAATTTATTAAAGGTAATGCTCACCACCATGTGTGCTGTTCGCTAAAGTTTGTATATAATTGCCCAGTTTCGATGACAAATTCTGCTTAATATGACTTTAAAATTACGTCTGCTAATAACGGAGTGCAATTTGTACCCATGAGAATTCCAATAGATTGTTGGAATACCTGGTCTCCAAAAACCAAATAGATATTGTCCATCAGAAATTCAGGTATCTCTTTGATATCAACTTCAGAGTACTTGTGTGTGCAATCAGAATGTATTTTAACAAAATAATTTTTTAAATGACCAATGACCAGTCAAAAGTCCATAAAACAATACAAAATAGGAGAAGAGCAAACAAGGACCTTCAAAACATCAGAGGTGACAAGGACGACACAAAACGTAAAAAATTGATAAGAAAAGCTTATTTGACTTAAAACGTTTCCCAACACCCTAGAGCGTAAGCAAACAATGGGAGAATGGGCCTTTGTGTGATGTGTTAAAGGATGCATAGCGGCTCATTCTGGAAATGACACCTTGGTGCAATTTGACTTTTCTCGATGTAATAATACAAACATTCTGTAACTTCATCACATTTTGTTCATTCATTTTGTGTTAATCTTAAAAGAAAAGTAACAATTCAACTATAATAATCATAAAAATCTGCTATTGCACTTTGTCATAATCCATTTTCTGTTGAATTCCGTTAAAAATGTACCGGTAATAACCTAAATTGTAATAATGCCTGTTGCTATTACATTTTGTGCTGTAATATTGCACGGTAATTCTTATCATAAAGTTTATTAGTTTTTTGTGCAGAGAATGTTTATGTCATTATGAAGATTTCAAACATATACAGTATTCAGTCTTCATATAACTTGAATGTAAAAATAATTTATTCAACTATATTTAAAAAGTAACCTTGAAAACTTACATTTTAAACCTCCCCAAAAAAATCAAGAATCTCTAGAGAACAAAGAATTAGTACAAGCTTGCATTTTTTAAATAAAAATATTATTTAAATTCAATTTAAGAGGTTTGTGACTAGAAGTCCAGAGAACAGGTTATATGAGTCGTGGTCGTGGAGCATTGCCGTCTGCGGGTGAGGATTCTGTATCCAGACTCTGTCCTTTTTATTAAGTATCAGGTGGACGGTTTGTCCTGCCAGAGGATATGTATTTGAAGCAGAGTATAACATAGATATCTTCTTCCCATTTTTGATAATATTCAAATTGACAGAATTGGATGGATGACTCATTAGTGTACACGATATGGTGTAGAGGCCGTCATAGGGGGCGGTGAATATTCCGGTTTGTGAATTATAAGCTCCACCCCAATTTGTTAACACGTTATCATACACGACAATCTCGTGGCCACTAATTCCTGTATCCTTTGAGAGCTTTGCAGTGAATGCAACCACAGGCTTTTTGTGTGCTGCAAATACAAAAGCGTACATGAGGTTTTCGTGAACATTTTTTTTTTACTTTTCTTGTTAGGGTCTTTTTTCTTCAACAAAAGACCTCACAGTTATTCCTTTTTAATTTATCTCCCCTTGAATGAGGGCACGGTCCTTCATTTAATCAAACTTGTTTTCCCTTTGCCCAAGGATGCTTTGTGTCAAGTGTGGTTAAAATTGGCCAGATGGTTAATGAGAAGAAGCAGTGTTTGAAATAACCATGCGTCCGACCGCCCGAGACGCACAAATTTGGTCACGGGCGAACAGATTTGCATGTATTGACGCCCGACTGGACGAGTAAAATTTTTCAATACATAAAAAATTTAGATATTTGATAAATCTCAAATCAACTAATATTACTGGTTTTAAAGAGTTACAAGCAGTTATATCGTAATATCGCGAGTACTTGCAGTTATCTAACTTACTACCCCTCTTTTGCGGGTGAGTCAAGAAAGCTCTAAATCTCGTGAGATCACTTCAGCACATGGTATTGTTTACAGTAGTGACAATCAAATGATTCGAACAATTTTACGCCAAAAGTCCAATGTATTGCCAAGAATTGAACTCGAAATAAGAGATTTTCAAATAAGGAAAGTTTAGAAAATTTTATCAGCTTTACAATGTGAAGATTTTCAATAAATATTTAATGAGAATATCCCACTTTGTTAAAAATATCGTTAACAGAGTTGTTTAGTAATTGAGATATCATGTAATAAAATATAAAGTTAACTGACCCCTGTAACGTTGAATATTGACCCCAGTTGAAAATTGACCCGGGGTTCATTTTTCAACGTTGAATATTGAACCAGGGTTTTTTTTTCTCCGTTGAAAATTGAGACCAAAAGTGGTTGAAATTATACCAGGGGTCATTTTTCAACAGCTTGATATTTTTTTCTTAACCCAAGAAGTTGAAAAATGACCCTGTTGAATATTGACCCCACCTCAGAGTCTGAATAATGTTTGAACTGGGAAGTTGTTTTAAGGGATTTATCGGTATGTCTTTTTTTTCCCTTTACAAGAATAATAGAAAAACCCTATCATCCCGTGTATATGTGTACATTTTGATCAGTACACGATTTCAGTTATCTTCAAGCATGACAACTTTATTTTTTGACAATACTTTCTAAAATCCACATTCATAAATAACTACAAAACTATGAATACGGCATAAAACAAAAATCCTGGAAATCTGGTGTATAGAAAGTGAGTCCTATATAATATTATATTGATCAGGTGGGGAGAGCATTACATTTAGTCAAACTCAGTATAAAAATTAACAGAATTAAAAGCCTAAAAATAAGAATGAAACACATCGGTCAAAATGAAGCCAATGATAGGTTTTTTTGTGAAAAGATCAATATAGTGACCATAACATAGAAGTAATGCTGGCTTGATTGATTGTAGAAATCCCTGTAACAAACTTATCTGTCAGTAGCCTGCCCCGGCCAAATAGTTAATCGTTTTCTGAGCATAATTTTGAGAATGAGAACTAGAATTAGAGTCTGCGATGGACTAAAAGCTACACTTACCACCATCTTTGATATCAACAATTAAAAAAACGCCGTCCCTGCAATTTCTTTTGATATAAACAACTAAAAAGTGCATTCTTCTTCAAAGAAACAGAGAGAGAGAGAGGGGGGATCTAAAGTTTTTCTCGAAGGTGGGGGTATGGTGTCAAAACCCTCTGAAAAATTGTGAGTAAAAAAACCAAAAACCAAATAAATTAACGAAACGAAACAAAGAAACAAGCAAGCAAAAAGTTGAAAGGTGTTAAACTCTCACCATGTCCCAAATATTAATACATGTATTACGATTTTTAAAATTACCAGGAATATGTCCATAGGACATGAATGCCCCGCCGAGGGTATATCAGTAATGCAAAATGAAAATTTGAATTTGTGTATGAAATTTCAGAATATCTTGAAAAGTGATTGCTTTCATCAGTGTGTATCAGTATATGAAGTTTTAACACTAATTGAAGAACAGTGAGGTCAAGGTCAAAGGAAGGGCCAATGTCAAAAGATGTTGATGCAGTTGAAAAGCCTTGTGTATCAGCATATAACGTTTGACACTAATTTAGGAAGAGTGGGGTCCAAGGAAAGGTCAAGGTAAAAAATGTTGATGCAGTTGAATAGCTCTCATCAATATCTATAAGCCTATGAAGTTTGAAGAATATATCTTGATAGTTTCTTTCAAACTGAGCTTTGAACAGAGCTAAATGCAAAGTGTGACGGAAGGACAGAGTACGGAAGACGGACATGACAAACACTATATGCCCCGGCCATATTCATGGTGGGGCAAAAAAAATAAATGAAGTGTTGATAGTAAGCAAAAAATATGAATAAACAAATTTCTGAATTAAATTGTATATTGTTTATATTGTGTAACTATATTTTCATAAATTTAAGATTTAAATATACAAATGTACTATCGGGTGGGGGTGGAGGGAGTGGGGGGGGGTGTGAGGATCCAATTTCTTTTTTTAAAGCATGCGCACTACCACTTAATTACTCTTCTTTGACTACACTGTAAAGTGTATGTTGAAAGTGTGGCGGGGGGGGGGGGGGGGGCGGCTAAACCAATTTCAAATTGTTCAATGCCTATATTATGTCTATGTCTAGGAGGGGAGAGGGTAAGCATCCTTAGCCCAGCCCCCCCCCCCCCCCACAGTTCCCGACGCCTATGGATTAAATTACAGTTGTGAAAAACGAGTCATAAATAAGTGTTTTTATGCTGTTGAATTTTGAACCGGTTTCATGATCAAAATTCCACGACCCGACTCAATTTTCAATGGATTAGGGTCTAAATTCAACACCTTTGGTCTCACTATTCAACGTTTAAAAATGACCCCCGGGTCAATTTTAAACCCGGGTCAAAAATAAACGTTACACCCCATTCACATTACTGTTAAAATGAACTTTTAAAAGACAGTTGATTTTTTTCGGGTTAGCACATTTAAGGCAGGGCTGACAGCTTCCACTGGCAATCAGTCTTTGAAAATTTTCTCAGCTCTATGTTATTTCTATGTTCTACATTTATTGAAATGTTCCTTATTTGTGTTTAACTTTAAAATTTTAGAATAAAAAATAAATCATGATCATGTTTTTTTTTAAATATTTGCATTTGCCAATGAAAGTTTACATGCTTTTTGTGCATAATGCAAACAAGAAATTCGCGCACCAGCAGAATCTATGGAATAATTTTCATTTAGAAATAAGCAGTTTAGATTAAAAGATTATTTTTTCATAATAGCAATAATTAAAAAATAATTTAGAAATGATGAAAACAAATTTTGGAGTATGCATATCATCAAAAGAGGAATGGGAACATAATTGGGTTGTTTGTACTTTTATTATCACTTCCTGGTGCAGTATTCTGAAATTAGATCATACTGGGATTGATAAACACTTTTAAGAGGTTACTGGTGTCTGTTATCTCTGTATGAGAATACGGTGGAGTTGTTTGCCCAACACTTTGTGTGGTTAATGTCCTCTATTATATTTAAATAAAAACACAGTGGACTTGTTTGTCTAACATTTTGTGGGGTTACTGGTGTCTGTTATCATTCTATGAGAACATGGTGGGGATGTCTGTCTAACATTTTCTTGGGTAACTAGTGTCTGTTATCTTCCTATGAAAACATGGTGGGATGTCTGCCTTACATTTGTGGGGTTACTGGTGTATGTTATATTTATATAAGAACATGTTTGGGATGTCTGTCTAACATTTTGAGGGGTTACTGGTGTCTGTTATCTTTATATGAGAACATGGTGGGGATGTCTGTCTAACATTTGTGGGGTTACTGGTGTATGTTATATTTATATAAGAACATGGTGGGGATGTCTGTCTAACATTTGGAGGGGTTATTGGTGTCTGTTATCTTTATATGAAAACATGGTGGGGATGTCTGTCTAACATTTTGTGGGGTTACTGGTGTATGTTATCATTCTATGAGAACATGGTGGGGATGTCTGTCTAACATTTGTGGGGTTACTGGTGTCTGTTATCTTTATATGAGAACATGGTGGGATGTCTGTCTAACATTTGTGGGGTTACTGGTGTCTGTTATCTTTATATGAGAACAATGTGGGATGTCTGTCTAACATTTTCTGGGGTTACTTGTGTCTGTTATCTTACTATGAGAACATGGTGCGGTTGTTAGTCTAACAAATTGTGGGTTTACTGGTGTTTCTTATCTTTATATTAGAACATGGTGGGGTCGTTTGTCTGTGCTTTTGTTGGGTAACTGGTATTTGTTATCTTTTGTATAAGAACATGGTGGGGTGGTTTGTATTATTCTTTGAGGGCCCTGGGCTTACTGGTGTTTGTTTTTTTAATATGTAAACACTGTTCGGCTGTGTGTCTTACTCACTGTGAATTGGTAAATCTGGTTCATGTTATCCTTAAATAAGAACACTTTTGCGTTGTTTTTGGTATTAAGGGGAATCAATAATTCTTTTACAATCTCTTCTTCTGATAAACAGTAATAATATATTTATTAAAGTTAATACTCACCACCACGCGTGCTGTTGGCTAAAGTTTGTATATAGTCGGTCAGTTTAGTTGACAATTCCGTGGATTCCTTACAATCTTTCTGTACTTTCGTTTCTAAATTTTCCCATTTCTGCTTGACTAAAAACAGTTCTCGGTCACATTTTGTTACTTCATTATCAAGATCATTCAGTCTCATTTCTTGAACATATACTGCTGCAAAAACAAATGCTATAAAAATCCTGCAATCCCGTGCACAATCCTCTCGTCCATTACAGGTTTTAAAATGTTGCAGACTTTTTTATGCTCGTATGCAAAAATTTATTACGGGGTTGTCATTCTGCATTCCCTCAGCCATGGAGGAAACTTGATCTGTAATGGTAGGTTTTAAATCCCCGACTTAGGGTATAAAAAGTGCTTTTGCCAAGCATTTAAAATGTATTACTATTGGCAACGATGTGTATTTACAAAAAAAAATTACATTTTGTTTTTATTAATAGTTTAGTACATTTGCACAATAAAAATATAGCAAAAAAGATACTTAATAATGTATAGTTTATTATATAAATAAAAAAGATGATGCTAATTAAACGTTGAAATACATGAATGTATCTTAAGCGGTTTTAATTTTATGGTGCTACAGTGTAGGCCACGAACTTTTCGAACAACCCTCGTAATATGATATCATATGAAGATATTATGATGTATGTATCGAGTTAAGTTACATTATTATATTCAAATAAAAACTAGTGAATTAAGAACACGTATGCTTCACTTCGTGAACCCTTAATAAAAAATTTAAAACTAAAAGCATTCCCTGTTGTCCGGCCACATTGGTCGTTCTCCTTAGTATAAGAATCTAGTAGGAGTATTTATCTATACTATTCACAATTTAGTATAAAAGCGATGACTAACAAAATATCATGGTATCAAAATTGTCAGGTGCAGCAGAATAAACTCAAATTATAAGCTATATTTTCGAACAAGGGCATTATATATGTTTTAACGGCAATATTATTTTTGTGAAAAATTCAAATAGGTTGCTAAAATTGTTAGATGAATGATTGTAAAAAGTTAGAGTACAAAGGTACACACCAATTTTTTTTGTTGCCAATTAGGATATATAATTTTTTTATTAAAACAATATCCCAAATGATAGAGTCAATGCCAAATTTAAAGAGAAGATGAATAGTAATAGTAACCCAGAATAAGCATCTAATTTTTAATTCTGAAAACATTTTTTCAAAAGAAATAGAAAAAAAAATAATATAATGAACATCACATTTCCTTGCGTGAATTTACTCAACATGAATGAAAAAAGCTGAAAAGAGAAAGTGACAGAGAAGTTGTACATTCACAACCTCTTATCTCTTTCACTGTAAAGTTTTTCCCACCGAATTGTTTAAGTAGTCAATTTTTTCTAAGCCAAAGAGTTTAAGAGTCCAGAGAAACTATTTCCCGTGTATTGAATATCCAATGTCAGGGAATTTCCTGGATGTGACTTGATACATACACGATCATTTTTATGCACAAACAGGCTTATCATATTACTGCCAGTGTTAAAGGAATCTGTAATTTTTCCTGCCAGTGCCTCTGCAACAATATTATCATTGACAGACAAATAAATACCTAAATGTTTATTTTCTTGAACTTCAACAGCAAAGAAAAATACGTAATTTCCAGGCACAGGCACTGTAAATATCCCTGTTATGGGATCATATCCGTTTCCAACATTATTCAGAACATTCTTGAACACAATGACCTCATTCGGTCCTCTAATTATTTGTTTTTCATCATTCTTGGCTGTTGCAGAGAACGTCACAATTATTCTATTCCCTGAAAAGTAAATATAAATTATTGCATATTAATTCATGCAAAATATAATTATCGAAAAACAATAATTCATGGCAACAATAATGGGCAGCGTTCAATCTAAGAAAAATAATTATAAACAATAGAAAATTGTAAAAGAAAGAAAGAGTATAAAACACGACCCCCTGTAAATTTCAGAGATGGGATCAAGTGCCAAGGGGGAGTAGGCATCCCTTGCTGACCGGTCACATCCGCCATGTGCTCATTGTCATGATCAGGAAATAACGGGAAAATCCGTCGTCAATTCAGTGTATAAGTAATGGACTACTCCCCTCGTGTGTATTCTAGATTGTTCAAATCAAGGCCCTCTTTGTCGATATTTTAAGGTCATAATTAATGTCAACACCATGTGAAAATGCCAATTAGATATTACTTTATAAAAAAGGAAAGTCGGCGATGGAAAAGCTGAAGTAATCTCTTCTTTTCATACATGTACAATCTAGTTGTTAGTTGCCCTTTATCATTCATGCCGGTAGTCAGTAAAACGCTAAATATCTTTGGTATGTTTTATTTACTGATCAAGGGAATATATCGAATCGACGTATATACGTATGTTAGCAACTATTGTTAATTGATAGAACACCATCGATATTTCAAAATGTCTATTGAAAGTCACATAATTTATGCACTGAGCAAATATTCTTTTTTTCATGGAGTAAATTTTGAATAAATTCTGCTCTATTTGGAATAAACATCAGGTTAGCCTATGAAGAAGCACAATAAATGTAAGTGTCTATCAACATTCAAATAGTTTATTGGAAGAGCTGGTCTGCGAAGATAGCACAAAATATTAATAGAGAGAGAGAGAGAGAGAGAGAGAGAGAGAGAGACAGCCTACGTGTTATTTCCTGTCGAAGTCGTATGTTTTCCTCCTCGATTTTCATCACTCTCTCCCGCAAATCACATCCCTCTTTATCCGATTCATAGATCAGCTGATTTTCTGAATGCTTTACACAGAACATATATATTAGTATGTTAAAAATAACAAAGGTAGAGCTAAAGCTACAACAAACTGGGCCAGACATATCTCCCTAACTTCCTCAATGTAATGATGATAAACAATTAACGCATTTCAAGTCAAACAATTAAAGACATCTTCCGCATCTGCCTACTCAGTATGTAAAGGATTGCACATTACTTTGGTGATATCATAATAAAATCTCTTCATATGATAATCACTCAAGTTGTAATGAAAGGGATACACATATTTTGAAAGGTTTAAAAGCATGAGAGAAAAAAATATCCGTATTGTTGAAGAGAACGTCAATTGTTATAATTTTTACGCTTTTTTTCTCATCAGCGTTTTTAGAAAGCGCTTTACTTAAGATGAAGATATCAAGGAAGAGAACTCTAACTTATGCAAAAATAAAGTAAAAAATATATTAACAAAAAAGATAAAATGATGTTAATTTTATTTAATATATGACTACTCAATTATTGGTTCATTTTGCAGAATCATTTTAAACAAACTTTTAAAAAGTGAACACTATGAAACATTTATAAAACGCGTCATTTTTTATTCGAATTTCAGTAGCTTGAAGTCAATAGTGTTCGCTACTGACAAAATATTCTGTACAAAAATAGTTCGCTGCGATATCCAAGTATGAAACAGATGCTTCAGACTCTGGTATCTTTAATCTCAAGCTCACCAGGTTATATAGTATCGACATCGACACAGGAATGGAAACAACAATTGTTAATTGACAATACATGGTCGATATATCTAAATGTTGAGTTGAAGGCCATAACAAGTGTTTTCTTCTTTTTACGCATAAGATTTTGCAATAAACATTTTTTATATATTTACAGCATTTTACTTTCCTTGGTTGTTAATGATTCAAATACTTGATTTCTAAAATATTTGGCAATTGTTAACCTTCTTTGATGATCATATTTCTACTATTGTGCAATCATCCTTATAAAACTATGCAATAAAAAAACCTATATTGCCTTACGAGGGTCATTAAAAAATACCTAGTAATGTTCCTCGTTATCATATTACTTTTATTGGATTAAAAAAACATTTATTTTGTCGAAGTGTCATTGACGATGGGATTTCCCGTTATTTCCAGATCATGACAAGGAGCACAGGGCAGGTGAGACCGTCGGCAGGGGATGCTTACTCCTCCATGGTACCTTATCCAACCTCTGATGTTTTAAAGGTCCGAGTTTGCTCTGCTCCTATTTTGTATTGTTGTATGAACTTTGATATTGAATACTGTTCGTTATCTCCATATCATTCATTCATTCCATTTTTTTAAATGAATCTCATGTTTTGTCTCCACAAAGCATGGTTAACGCTTTTGTTACTTCACCAACAACGTCGAGAAAGTTTCTCAAAATTACTCTGCTTTTTTCAACTCATAAACGGTTTGTAGTACATGTATCTTCCCTATTTCATAACAATTGACACACACATGTAGTTTGCTTGCAACACTTTACTTAGTTTTAGTTAGATTGTCGATGTTTTAAATTTTTTAAAGATCTTATTCTACTTTTACAAGTTCCGCAACATTAAAGCGCATATCGCATTTCATGACTTAACTCTTTTGACAAAAAAATTATAAAGAATGAATGATCAAAAATTAATAGAATAGAATAAAGTTTCAATCAATTAAATGAATACACAGTTCACAAGATTCAAAAAATTCTTTTTTACTACCAGATTTTTTTTAAAAATTGTTTTTTTGAAAATGTCATGAGAATTTAAGGAATGTTGAACAGGATATTTAAACATATAACATTCAGAGCAAATGTGATGAGATATAAGTTTTACATAGGAATATATAGAAATTTTAGTTTAAAATTCTACTTCTCAAGAACAACACAGCTTTGATTGGTCATATTTATATAGAAGCATCATCAGGAAGTGAAGATTCGATTTTGTTCTAATCATAGAACAACATAGCCATAATTGATCATATTTATATGGAAGCAACCTCAGGTAGAGTAGATTCAAGTTCTTTTAAATCATGACCCCGAGGGGTAGGGTGAGTCCAAAATAAAAGTTTATACTTATTGGGGAAAAAAGTCACAGTAAGTCAAGCAAATATGTAAGCATTCTTAGAGGTATCATTTTAAATCATACCCCCTTTAAGGGGTAGGTCGGTACTACTTAAGCATTTAAGCTTTTCAATAATGGATTAATTTTTGCTTTTTTTTTTCAGGCACAGTACTTAGGTGAGCGATGTGGTCCATTGGACTCTTGTTGTTTTTGTATTTAACTGCAATACTGCAACTAGTACAACTAAAGCTTTCGCAAACGCACTGTTCTGTTTTGGAAATTGTGCTTTTGGTTGTAAAAAAATTTTACTCAAGAAAATACAGAGAAAATTAAAGAAACATTCTATTCATTACGATTGTAACAGTTGACATGTCATACTTCGCAGGGAAAAAATTCACTACCAGAATGAATCTTACCACATTGTAGGATATTCCACAAAAAACATTCAATATATCAAACAGTAGAAAAAGTCTTCTTTCGGAGACAAATTTATTATTCCAATGTTCAAGACGAGAAACGATAAACTGAAACAGATACTATTTATTATAAAGTTTGTTTTGTCAATTGACATGTAAGTGTTACTTGGGGAAAATAATAAAGGATACCTTTTTGCCTCCGAAGAAATACAGTGGCATAGTTTATAAGAAAAGGTTTGAAAACATACCATAAAGACAAGAAGAACAGAGGAAGGAAAGATAATCTTATTTCACTGGAGTTCTTTTCATTTATTTTAATCCTTTTGCACATATCACATTGATAATGCAAAATAAAGTTAAATGCTCGCTTTAGTTTACATGGATAATCAGATTTTTTAAATAAACTTTGGATACTTTAACATCTGTAGAAAAAGACAAAGACAAAATTGAAAGATAAAACATAAGTATAAAAGGACTTCCAAAACATATTTTAATTTATATTAATGACGACAGTTTTCCTTACAATTTTGCCATAGTACTGTTTTTGACGGTGGCTAATATCGGGAAAACACTCAGAGTCGTATCTTTTTGAAACTAGTGATATTTTAAAAACATTTTTTTCCAGAGCTGTCCCTTAAAATGCCCACGGCAAATCCTTCCCCTATTTGTCCCGTTAACGATATTTGCCGACAAAGTATCCTCTCTGTGAAAGTTTTGTTATAACATAAGTCTTTGTCTTGAACAGTTACAGTCAGATTGACATTATTATGTTTACCAATGGTGATCATATTGAATGTAAAAACATTCAAATCGATTGGATAACTAAGATAATGTTTGAATTCTTCCTCTTTCAAAATCCATTCATATATTCCATTAAATTGTTGTTTTATGTTATCCACAGACATATTGATGTTAAGTTCTGTTGTTATCTCAATTAAATTGAAAAAATGCATTATTTTTATCAGATACTAGTTCCTGAATATCTGTTTTCAAAGATACAGAAATATTGCACTCAGGAATATTGGAACATGCAAGTTCAAGATGAAATGAAATCAACAAAAGACAAATACATTTGGTCACTGACATTTTTACACTACCTTCATTTGTAATCTATATAAAGAATAAATATTTACATCCACTGAATATTTTCTCCTTTATTTCTTAAGAAAACCTATTGTGTTTATCACTGTATGATCTACAGTAGGCATTTCGTCTGTACAGATTTCTTGACCAGTGGCTGTTCCATCAATGAAACGTATAAAGACATTCGCATCATTAATATAATAATTTATCCTTTTAATCCTACTTTAAATGATTATTTAAACAGATATAAATATAAACAATAAAATGTCTTTCTTTTTTTGTTATTACTGGAATTAATGGTCGCAGCTATTGCAGAAAAATTTACATAACCCGCTTACGCGGGTTATGTATTTTTTCTGCAAAAGCTGCTTCCGTTAATTCCAGTAATAACAAACAAAGAAAGCATTTTATTGTTTAAATAAACATCAAATATTATCAAATAGTTATTTTTTTCCCATACAGAAAAAAAAAGATAAAAAAAGATGTCAATTTTACCATTTTCAAAAGTATTTAAACTATTAACTTTATATCTGAATCAACGAGAACTAAAATTGAGAAAGACTGAAGTATTTCCTTAATGATAAATTATTATATACATAATGTATCATTATGTGATATATTGATATAATTTATTTAAATCAGTACTTTATTTAAAACATGCATACATTTAAAATATTGATTTTGAAAATATATCTTAAACTTAACACATGTACAGTTGTTAAACTTTTTCCAGAGATACCGAAAGCTTGTGAAATGGGTATCTATGAAATCCCTCTAACCTACATTTATTTTTTTTATCTTGAAATAAATGACATTAATGTGACCGTTCGATACGTAATTTTAACTAATTCATTACAACTGATCCCATTCTAAAGTATTAAGTTTTAGCTCTGTTGTTTCAATACATTTTTGAGCTAGAATATGTTCGTTATCACTATACTGCATAGAATATATGTCATCATGTGGAATTGTTAAGTAATCAATAGATACTTCCTAAAATATAAAGAAATCATGTTCTGTTTGATGCTAAAATACGCAATTTTTTTTCTATACATGTAATTATAATTCTATTCAAAATCTTGAATATATCTTTAACATTGCGACAAAGTCTTACAAAGTTCTCCCGCGCACACTTTACCTGGGTTCAGGTTACTTATTTGAATATAAATGTGACGCGCCAAGCAAAAACCTCCCTTATCTCTATTATGACGTAACGTCAAAAGACGCGTCTAAAGTCAACAAGGTAAATGCGAAGTAAAAACGCCTCCTCGAGAGAAACACTCCCAAGCAGAACAAGGGTATGTTGTTTTATTTATATGCTAAGACAGATTATTGGGTGTAATTTGATGTAGTTTATTCATTCATAACTTAGTCTCCGTCAAGTGTCTGTGTGATCTTTCCTTGTATATTTTTTAAAGATTTCCAGTGGTGGCTGAAAAATTCCCGTAAGGTCGTTTTTAAAATGAAGTTTGTTTGCCCTCTCCCTATTCGGGTTAAAAATTGAATCGGTAGGTAGGTCGAATTTTTTTTATCTGAAATTTTCAGTGTTGAAAAAGATTGAAGGCATTTCTGGAAAAAAAAAGTTGTCGATAGGATGAGAAAATTCCGGAATGAATAATTTGGAAGTTTTAAAAAGATTTTAGTCGGTTCATTTTATAAGGTCAAACAAACAAGTCTTTTTTTTAATTTAATGTCCAGCTGTTTCATCGTGAAGCACATGCAAGAAAAATTTAACAGGAGTATTAAACTAAGGTATTTTTTTAAATACTTCTCTTTAATTAATGGAATGAATTTAAAAGCTACCCAATTTATACGATATAAACCGAGTTGGAACAGTTAACGCTGCCCTTTATATAAATAAAACGTGAACTGTTATTGATAAATACTGAAGTTTCGTTGTTAAAAAGGTATTCTCTATAGATACGACACAGAGTATTTCATTTAGACACTTCTTCCGGAATTAGTTTTAGCTGAACATTGATTTAAAAATGAATATTTTGAAGAAAGACCTTCTGAGCTTCTCAATTTATTTTATTGTCGAACACCTTCTCATGTTGTACAAAAATGTAGAAAAAATTCGCCCCCTTTCTCCTGTGTCACGTGTCTGCTCTATTTCTTTGGATACTTCGTGGAAATTTTGTCTTGAATATACGGATGCTTGCATACATTGTAAGTTACAGTCCCACTATCAAAGGTATTTTTTGACTGATAATTAAACAGATTGAACGTATGTTTATCGACCTTTTCATAATCTGTTTGATGAGGTTATACACAATACACCGAATGTAAAAATGGGAAAAATGATACATCGCTAAAATGTTATAATTAATACAAATTGTTACAAATTCATACAAATTGATTGAACACTTTTAAAACATTCCAACCCATTTTAATTTTGTGCATGGTTTATCTAAATGTACTAAAGAAGATGCTGGAGTTCTGGATTCCTGAAAACAACAATCTAAAATCTTCTATTAAGGACTCTGTTGGGGTGTGCTGATATAAAAGTTGAAATCGTTTTGTAATCTTTACTGTAAATCACTTAATTTTCGCAAGTGAGTCAAGGCTATATGTAAGAATTTCTATGCAAATGAGCTAATAAAAATGAACAAGTTATATATTTTATATACCAAGAAAGTTCAAATTGATTTCCTCATTAAAACTTAGTGCCCACAGCATATAAGAGATGACGCCATTGTTCTTTCCCATTCGAGGTAATAAAACACATCAACTAAACAACGTCGGTGCAAGGGCATATCCTATTTAATTTTAAATTAATAATGTATGATATTAAGAAGAATATTAAGAAGATTTTAAAAGAATTGCAACACAAATCCTAAGCAGTTTCTCAATTGATAAAAAATTTAGGAAACTTACACTGGACGGTGAATTTTATTCTGTTTCAACTTAAAATTCTACAATTTAAAACTAAACAATTGCAATGTCGATTTGTGCAGCAATATCTTGTATCCTTTGAATATCCTGCGTCTATTTATACATTGTTTCTGTCAAACAAAGTAAGGTATGTCCTTGCGCCGAAGCGATTTTGTTGATGTTTCTCTTTCACTTATGTAGTAAGGATGTAGTACGGATCGATGACGTCATAAAATGACGTCATAATGTAAACTGGCTATCGCATATCGTGGGTACCTAGAATGTTTTAGAAAACAAGGCTTTTTCTGCGTGGTAGGTATAGCCATTATGGGTTTTACTGGGATCTTTAGCATAAAAACCTCCATACGTAGTCTTTACTCACTTGCGTTTTCCCTTACTTTGAGAGATTTTTATTTGAACAAATTTTTGTTTATTGTTATTTTTTTTTCAAGCAAACCCATATTCTTGAAAATGAAAATTTTCTAGGAGAGCGACTCGAGTTAGTATACAAAAATAAAGATTTCGAGAGGCAAGTGAATTGTGGTGTAGCTTGCTTTTATAAAATTGTATGCATTCCCAGTTACCAATAATTCCTATTTGAAGGGAGGGTAGAGGGGCTATGATTACAAATAATCCAGTCATGTCAAAAACTACTTTTAAAGTAGAAATTTCGTAAGTCTTTGGTCTTGATAATGAATTTGTTAAGAGAAATAACCTACCATTTGGTCATATTTTGTGTGACTTGTTTCATATGGCCTTTAATTTTGTTTATACTGAATTTGAATGTGTTTGATTTCAGTTTCATTTGAGATACAATTAAATGTATTATTAACGTCGGAATTCACAGAGTGACGGATTAAACAGGTGGTTTTTACAGTAATCACATGTATAATAGCTTGAAATTTCTTTTAGTTCTAGATCTGTTCAAGAATAAAGTAAGTATGATCTTCCGGGTGTTTCTCACAAAGGTTACTCCTGTCCTGTTCATCATAACTAACGTCAGGAACACTTTTCAAGATATGGTTACTAGTATTAGGACTGTCGAAAACATGTTTTCTTTTTTCTGTATCTTCATTTACAGAACTCTTACTTATTATTGAAAATGCATGGTGATACGTTTCATCTGAATTTGTACCACGTCTTGCATCCCAAAGTCGATCATATATCCCTTTACTACTTTCATGGCATTGTTCTCGTTGTGCAATAACATTCTTTGTTGTATCATAATTACATTTATTATCATCTTCATCATTACTGAGTTGTTTGTCTCTGAGGTGATTGTATATTTCCTCTTTAGCTTCCATGAAGGGACTTTCTAATTTGTCTTCCGGAATAGACGATCGATTTCCCTGTTCTTGAAGTTCTATGGTATTATAAGAGTGATTGGTAATTCTTGTAACATTAGAACTTCTGGTGCTACATTCACTATGTTCTTTTCTTGATTTTGGTTTTTGTAAGCTGGTTTGTTTTTTTAAATGACGATGACTAAAAACAGAAGGCATACGAATAATGAAGATAATGTAAGACTTTTAGAAGTAATTTATGGAATTCTTGTAAAGACTTCAACTTGTATAATTAAAGTCTAGATTAAATTTGTGTTTTTTGTGTTCTCTACCATGCATTGCATGAAAAGAGTGTACAGGAACATTGAAATTTTGCGCCAATATTTGAAAAAATTCATAACATTTTTTTAAGATACAAATCCAATTATACTGACCACACATATTTGGAAATCAGCGCAAAAATAACAGCAAGGGCACTCACAGCAATTGCTACTGGAAGGATCATGTGTAATGCGTCCTCACTTTTTTCTTAAATAAAAAAAATTATCTAGTCATATTTTAATTTTTACGAGAAAAATTAATATACGATATATGCCACTAGACAATACTGCCTTTAGTTCTAGTAATCCATAACAAAGTTACCGTTTAAATTGATTGTTTCTGCAGTTGTACTTTCTGTTGATGATAACATCATAAAATTTTCTGTTGTATTATTTGTAGACGATACTGTTGTTGGTGGTGTTTTTTCATGGCTCCCGAAATCCGTAATATGTGTTGATGTGTGCAGAGTACCTATCGTTTGGGACGATGGATCTAGTTCGTTTTCTTGGTCTCTCTAGTCATATGCACAAGATGTTTTGTAACATGAAAAACACAAGTTTAGCATATTACATATACAGGTGTATTCATAAATTATATCTATATTTCTTACATATTGAAATTGTTAACGTGTCTAATTATTCTAAAAATTCTTAATCTGTACATGTTAAACTTATGAAATGAAAAGGAATGTACCTGTATACAGAGTAATTTGACATTCTGTTTTTCTTTACAGGGTACGTAGGAACAATTGTTTAACCTTGTATTCTTGTAAAAGCATACTTGACATCCAGTGAACATATCCAATTCTTCTTTTCCGATTTTGATACCTAAAGGTCGAAGTCTTTCTTAAAGACAATATAAAAATTGGGTGGAATGTTATATACGTTTTTCTACTTTTAATCTGGGTTACAAAATTGTTTCGCTGAAATATTTTGCAACCTTATGACAAACAAAATATACAGTGTTATTTTTACTGTCCAACTTAAATACAAAACTGAATTTTAATAGTGTAACTATCATAGTAAAATAACCGTCACATGTACATGTTCTAATATTTGCATAATAAGGTTGATTGGGAAAATAAGGCTCTATATCTGTAATTACAAATTGATAACCAAAATTTAAAACTGTGTCAATACATGTCGTAACACATGTGTTTATCAAGGTTTCTCAAATGAAGCTTTCTCTGTGAGAGTTTAATTTTATCTTCGTTAGCAGAAAAAAATCTAGCGTGTATTTAATATTGTGCTACAATACAAATCTGTTGAAGACAATTATCTTTTAAAATAAAACCATCATGTTGTAATCTTAGCAAAATGACTTATCAGTTTTAGTTCGTCAATTTGTTTAAAAAGTAAGAATAAAATGAAGTTTCAATTTTAAATAAATAGAAAAATGTTAATTTCTATTTCTAATTTGTATTCTAAAGAAAGTAAGCTGTGAAAACGAGAAATCCGAATTATTGCTGAATCCCCCCAAAAAAACAATTTCAGGGGACAATAATTACCGTTTACGTATATAGAAAAACGTATACCGAAGCTAAAGGTCGACGCAATTTTCAGTCGCAATCCATTACTTCGATAACACAGAAAAAAATTGTCATGATTTAGTTTATATTTCTATTGCATGATAAAAAGAATGGAATCATTAGTATGCACAATATGTATCTCAAATAGGATTCTTCCATCAGTTAAGGGTCACTTAGTTATAAAAAGGGATCTGACCTATAGGACCGGGCCTTGGTTTTTTTTCAAAAGGCCTGTCGATTTCCATTCAGATTTATGACATTAGGCTGAATATATATAATAATTTGATTTTCATATTTCTTTATTTCAGTGAGTGGTGGTATGAGTAACCCTTTCATTGATTTTCTGAGTTTGTTATCTCCAAATATAATAATTGATATTTGTCCTTACTTCTCACCGTGCATAATGGTACTATCTACGGTCTCTGAAATTCTATTCTTTATGTCTAAGCTATTTATCCTACATACATATAATACAACATGTGATTAATGTGTGCAAATTATATTGGCCTAAATGAAATTCCAGGGAGTACAGTTATTGATATATGTAGCAAATTCAATGTGATTAAATTCTAAGGAATATATGCGACTCAAATTCATCGCAGCTCAATGTTGCCAAGAATACCTGTATTGAGTAGCACAGAGTGGGTTATTATTGTCCTCGGAGAAAGTGTGCTAATACTGAGGTTTGTTCCGCCTGACTAACAATTGTTCATTGGATTGTTACGATTTTATATCTCTTTAGTGTTTCAAATATCAAGAATGGGCATACATTAAGTATAGATAATTGGAGGAAAATATACAAGTCTATAAAAAACTCTAAAATTCTTTCAAAAGGCGAAATTTAGAACTTTAAAAGTGTGGTACCAGGTGGATTCGAACCCCCGACTTTAAAAAGAAAGTTCGAGGGTCACCCCTACTAATGTTATTGTGATTTAAATTCAAGACACGTGGTTTAGGTTGTGACATTCAAAGGTTATAGGGTAGAACCAGTTTCATCAATAGAATTGGCATTAAACAGGAAATTGCTATAGTCTGTTTCTTCTGAAAACATGTCCTGTGAAAAATGTGTTTCCAGACCTTTCTGAAAGACTTTCATGATTTTCAACAGAAATGGTGGCTACAAAAAGGGGGGAATAAAAATTAATACATATTATCATAGTTTACCGCAAAAATTACAGCTCAATAGCGACCAATACGCTGGTAAAAAAAATGTGTAATATCATCTACACGGACAAACCTTTGTTTGCCTTATATGGCCATTGCTATTAATGCGCACAGAGGATTTTACCATGTGCAACTGACCAATTGTTGGTTGAATACATTTACGCCAAATACATGTTTCCTTGATCATGTCATTGGAGTGCAAAATAAAAAAAATGTTCTCATAAACAAAATGCAAACATTAGAAACTACGAAAGATATTACTGGGCTCACGGGCGTTTTTAATTTGTTGTTAACTAGAGAAAAACATGTTTTGTAAAATGCATACTTAGTTAGTGTTAAGTTCAGAGCACCAGCACTTCAAGGGTAAGGAAAACAAGCAGCTTCTCGCATGCATTTAAATGGACAAAACATTTTTTTTAGATAACTATACTCGTGATCATGTGTGTTGGCCAGGGAATCTACCTTACAATTGTATTTACTGATAGTACAATAAAGGAATTTATCAAGCGTAAAATTCCTGTAGTATTCGTAGTAACCCAAAATGCAATTCTCATTCAGCTGATTTGTCAGTTAAAGTCACATTGGAGCCTCATTTGCTAATCTGACGCCAAAAAATATAGTCACGGTTCCCATGCAAAATATTCGTCCAAAAGGAAATTTTAATTCATGACAGCAGAAAATTGTATTATAGAGAATACTTATAATTTAAACTTGAATGAATGCAAGAGAAATTTATTGAGGAACATTTCTACAAAATGATATATTAAAGGGTGGTGAAAACTAAAACGCAACATAACTTTTCTGTTTACCATGCCATTTCCTAGCCACATTTCCGTGAATAATTTACCCTATCTCGCTGAAGTCTTGCTAACTCTCGGCAGAGCCACTGTCAGAGCTACTCTGAACTCATCGGGTTTTTGCAGAACAACGAAAAATATAAGGTTCCAAACACATTAGTACGGGTGACGGTGTAAAAAAATAAACGCATATATCTACTGAGCTAGTCCGACTATAATGAAAGGTAGAAACTGAAGCAAATTATCAGAATCAGGTTTCCTTATTATGCGCCCGGATTGATAGATCCGGGGCGTATATTGTTTTTGTCCTGTCTGTCTGTCTCTCTGTTTGTTTGTTTGTCTGTTTGTCTGGAAACTTTAACCTTCGTCATAACTTTTGAATCATGAAATATAGAGACTTCATATTTGGTATGCATACTCCACTAATTAAGTTCTTTCAAATGACACCAAGCTTAATGACCTTGTGACCTTGAGTGTGGTCTATATGCTAAAAATAGCTTTTTATCTCCAAACTTTAATCTTCGCCAAAACTTTTGAACCATGAAAGATAGAGACTTAATATTTGATATGCATACTACACCAATTAAGCTCTTTCAAATGACACCAAGGTCAATGACCTTGTGACCTTGACTGTGACCTGTATGCTAAAAAGAGTTTTTTTCGTTCCTTTGCCATGACTTTCGAACCTTATAAGATAGAGACTGCATATTTAGAGTATGCATACTCCACTAATTAAGCTCTTTCAAATGACACCAGGATCAATGACCTTGTGACCATGACTGTGACCTTTATACCAAAAATAGTTTTTTGTACCTTTTCCATGACTTTTGAACCACAAGAGATGGAAACTTCATACTTGGTATTCGTACTTTACTAACTAAATCAATTTCTTTCAAATGACACCAAGGTCAAGGACCTTGACTGTGACTTATATGCTAAAATAGCTCTTTTAGAATTTTGTTGCCGTCGGGCGCATATTGTTTCACAAACACATCTTGTTTTTATAGTTTTTTTGTGAATTTCGGCCCGAGGGCAGGGGTGCTCTTAAAAACATCCTATCTTAAATCATACCTTAAACCCTAACCTATCAAAATATTACAATTTTATTGAGAGGCAGCTAGGTCTGCCCTGAAGGACTTCTAGGCCAAAATTCATGCAAAAATCAACACTTTAATGGACAAAATGGTGTTTCGGCCAACTTTAGAGGTTTATTTTAAAGTTATAAATAATAAATTAAAGGTATAAAATACAAATTTGAAAATTTTTAGACATATTTACAGTAAAAAACAACAAATAAATATTAATATTTAAATGTCACTTTTTCAGGGAAATTGCTCTCTTCTATAGGTCAATTCTTTTGTCATAGTGAATACATCCTTTGATACGCAGGAGCATGCTCTACATGTGAACAATTTCTAAAACGAGGGACATGTAAATTATCGCCAAACAAGTTGATGAAAGAAGAATATCAGGAGTCTCGTTTAAAGTCATCATTTCGTAAGTTCTATGGTCGATACAATGATCTTATCAGCTGGTTTTCAGACAGTTTTTACTGTGGGATTTTGAGAAAACAAATACCATCGAGGCTCGTTCATGAGGACGTTCAAAGGAATCACAGGAGCATTATAGGTATCGTCTATAAAACGACACAAAAATTGTTCCACGGCAAATCATATTCAGCAATTTAGATTTAGAAAAACCAAATTCCGTTTTATCACCGTTTCTATATTCATTTCGGTTTGATACTTTCTCGTCTTTTTATGCTCTTTTATATATGTAAACTAATGCTAAGACAAACACTAAGACTGTGATCTTTTTATTGTAGTGATTATTTTAACATCCATAACAATAAAAATACAGGAGACAAAAGAATATTAGTAGACATTTACCTTTCAAAGTAAAGTTTAATAATTTTCTTGTAAAATATTTCAAAGAGGTAATACTTAATATAGCTTGATAAATCTTAATTCATAAAAAAAGATTTTGTTTCAAATGACATGTATTCTAATCACTTTAATACATGCAGTGTAAAATTCAACATAGGTATTAAGGTCTTGTATTTGATTTGCATTTTTAACATACGTCTACATAAGTATACTTTTTGTATCTTGTCTTTATTATTTTTAACTTGCCTCGATCGATTCCAGTGTACACTTCATTCGCAACACCAACCCAAGATCCTTCGGGTAGTTCTTTACCAATCATTTTGCAAGTTTTGTTTATGTCATCCAGAAATACTTCCCCAGTCAAATAAGATGAAAGAGGTTCTGATTTGCAAATGTTCATTGACTGGGACCAGTCAGATGCGTTCAGTATTCCTGATAAAATGTATTCCTTGTTGTGTAGTTTTTGAAATGAAATAGACGTCTAGATATGTTTACATATTTACATAAAATAAGATAATTTTTTATGTATATTCACTTTAATTATTTATTCAGAAAACTTACTGTCCGTCAATTTACACACAGGATGTTTACTGCTAGAACAGTATCTATCGAATAGAAATGTATTTGTTTTTTCAGAACACTGAATAGCAACACAATAGACACCATCTACCATTGGTTTTCCTTCATCTTTTGTTGCTAGGAATAAATTTTGTTCAGAAACAGATACATGTAAATTGAAAATTAGTAAACTACAACGTTGATTAATGTACATGTAATAAGAAAAGCGTTTACTTGAACAAAAATCTCACATATATACTATATATATATATGAATCTGTTGTAAAAAAAAAAAGGTTCAAGGTTCAAGTACCTGATATGTAAACAGAGTAAAATTCTTTGCCTCCGCACTCCTCAAAATAAGGTTTTTCACCCCGATCTTCAGGCTTGTAGCAAAATGCATTACACAAGGTTGGAGAAGTTTCATTTTCCCGAGGACGGTCTTTTAAGCATCTGCATATCTTATCCTTATTTTTTAAACTACTTGCATTATTTAAATTACATATGTACAAATTAAGAAAAACGCCATTAATGGCAACACAATTTAATCACTTGAAATGAAAGCACGTTCCTTTCGAGATGATCTTTTAATCTTGAAATATTTCAAATAAACTCAGATACTTACCTTGATTGCAAAAGTGGTCTTATTAGAAGACAGGCATATTTCTTGACAAAACCCTGCTGATTTAGACAAGTTTTGCATTATGTAAGTGGTAGAGGATACTGCCTCAGTCTCATTGTCTGTGTAACAACCTAAACAGAACCCATACAGATTAAAATATTTTGGTGCTTCTGTGATGCACGATAGGATGATAAAACTACATATTTACAATTCATTCAACTTATCCACTCAAAACCATGTAAATGGCATATGAGTATAATACAGCAAAATGTTATATTAATCAAGCTAGTGAAGGAAAACAGAGCATACTGTTACTTTTAGTAGTAAATGTAAATAATTATTTTAAGGAATCAACATCATTTACATAAATTAGGCACATTTCTGGAGAATTTAATAAAGGCATTTTATGATGTTACACATGGAAACTAAATATCGAATTTAACATCTGAAAATGATGTTCTCTTTAAAAAATATGTATATGAATTTCTCATTGTAAAAATTCACTTCATTAAGATAGATCGCGGGTTTGCTGACGTCACAATAGGATTCGACGTAAAAAGCTTACTACGTTTACAGTATCAAACTACTAACAAACAAAATGTATATGCATCATTAAATAAAACATACATTAAAGTATGTTTTGTCTGTCAAAATATTTATAAATAATAAAAAATAAAGGATTAATCAATGCTTAATCAATACTAAATTTGATTAAGAGATAACATAAAGTTAAAATATGGAAGGTCAAAATTGATTCAAATAACATGACTGTGTTTCATTGAAAAAAGTGTGACAATTTAGGTAAATTATAACAATGTTTATTTATTGTCAATCAATTCAAAATTGAAAATGCAGATAAAACATGTTTTATTTTCATTGAATTGTTAATTACATTGTGATTCTGAGACGTACACAAATAATGACGTCGCCCTAACGTTATATAACGTTTTAATGAAATTTTATACATTTGTTACAAATTTGTAAAACTTTAAAGTTTTTTTGCAAGAAAATGAGCGAGAACACATATTAATTTTTTTAATAGATCGATTTTAAATACATCTCACATCCATTGTTTTGAGTAATATCAGATTCGTCTGCACCGTTTTCATATCATAAGCATGGTTTTGAAATGCGTTTACCGATGAGAAAGGCGCATTTTCTATATATTTCATTGTAAAAGCGTCACTAGTTCTCATCAACATTAGAGCCTTTGAAATACGATAACAATATAACCACGCAGACGAATTTCACAAAAATTTCAGAGAGTAAAATTTGAAACGAGAGGATCCAGTTGAAAAATTTTCAGAGTATGTTTTCAGACAGACAGTAAACCCGCGATCTACCTTAAACACTCACTACAAATTAAATGCAAACATGTTACCATTATGACGTCATATCGACAAATGTATTGCGATCACTGACTTATATAATTATATCTTAGGCTTGCTGTGTGCAACTAGAATAGCAACAAAAATACAAGACATTTTTTATGTAGTTTAATACGATTAAATAGTTTAGATTTATTAAATTTCATATATTTTAATGACGCTTTTGAAACACATATGTCGCCAACTTTTTGATTAATTGCCTGCTACGACTAAAAATAAAACCGATCATACTTTTAGCATGCTCTTGAGTATCGGATATGTTAGGAGACGGTAGTCCCTATTGATGCCTCCATGGAATATTTAGGATAGACGTTCAATAAATCATGTCTTCAGCTCAATAACATACAACATAGAAATCATATGCCATTAGGATTGACTTTCTCTAATTATTGAATCTTTAATGAGTTGATAACATTTTATTTTTTCCACTTTTTATCACATAGTTTCATGGCGAGAAGCTGGAAAACAAGGGCTATTCGAGACACTGCATTTATAATGAATAGTCAAGAATCAGTAAACTAGAGTGAAATTGAATGCTCCATTAAAGCTGCTGTAAAACTTTTTAAGAATCCCAAAGATATATTAATTGAAATATGCGAAATTTACAGCAACCGATGTCTGTTTTATACACACATGAGCAGCTGGATTTTGCTGAGCAAAAATGATATTATGGGCCTCCAAAATGGGTACCATCCTTGTCGACAAGGACATACAACAACCAATGTATATTTGCAAAAATTCAACAAATTATTCACTGTGTGTTTGATTGACTCAAAGAAACATCTTTTTGGGGGAAGTCACCCTGTTTTTAGGAAACATTTGATAGTAAAAAAAAGTTTAATACTCAAGGGTCACCAATATTTTGAAAAATGTGTGAAAATGACAACTTGTAGAAATGTCTAAATAGTTATTGTAAAAAATTAAAAAAAATGTACTTATCCATGTTTGTCTTAAATTCAAACAGATAATGAAACTTGAATCCATTTTGCTTTGAACCCTCAAAACAATGAGATACACTTGACAAATCAGCAAGGTCTGAAACGAGCAAAGAATTGTAGGAGCACAAAAACAGTTTTATATGCTATTTTCCTAAATATAAGTGGTCTTGTTGTTCAAATTCTTATATGGGGAGTAATTTCAATTTCTAGAAGAGTCAAGAAAACAAATTCTTTTGCAAAAAATGATAGGTTTACGAGAGGAAGGAACCAGAATGAGGAATTTACTACATTAAATTTCTTCATGACAGCGTCCAAACCCACAGGCCATGAAGCGTAAAGAAGTTCTGGGGATCAAAATTAAGTTAATGTTTGGTCACACCAACAACATTGGCCAGCACTTTCAACCTTTGACTTGTTTCATTTCCCAAACTTTAAAAAACACCTTTCAAAAAGATAAAACAAGTACATGAAATCATAGGATCTGCCATATTCCAGTATACAAAGGGTCATACTCAAATATGTGTTCTAAAATCAATCCGGAATTGAATAAAATTGTTACGGACATGTTTTTTTTTAAATAAAAGAGAATGTTTAAGTTAAATAAGTAAAACTAAATCATTTAAAAACATCTTTTGCTTCTTCCCGAGCACCGATGACATTACTTGTTGAACGTCCCTCGTACGTACTGATAAATAAGTAACTTGTCAATAGAAAGCTGAATATCATTTAACATACAATTTGTTTTTAGGCGGCCCTTATCGCCTATACTCAGTATAATATAAACAAATGTGACAGAATCTGTCATGTCTTTCGCTTCGAGTTAACAGGATGATATCGAGTCGGCATATTAATGGAAATAATTATTGTTAATTGATTAACCGTCGTCAGTATACTTAACAGAATGTTGATTTGAAAGCCATTTTAAGTGTTTTTCGATCTAATGTAGAAGTTTTTAGTTCTTGTATTACTTCTGCTTCATCATAATTATCGTCCATTACACCCTGTGAAGGACACAAAAAAAACTTCCTACATAGAAATATATCAACAGGTTTGCTAGTAAAGAAGTATACTAATAACACTCTCGAAATTCCATCGGTTTGGTTGCAGAGCTGGTCTCCAATCTTTACACACTTAGTATGGGTTGTCAATGACAAACTCCAGTATTCTCCTACGTTTGTGTGTAGAGTCAAAGTACTTCAGCAAAGTATATTTGTTTATAACCAATCCAAAGTTATGAAAAACTAATGGAACATTTCAAAGATTAATAAAATTATGTATGCCATTTAAAAACAAGCTAATTCAGAGAATTTGTGTCTCTCGCTTAGGGAAAAAGTAAACCATGCGCAGTTCGGGGGAGGGGGGGGGAGTCGGATCCCCCTGACTGAATTTGTAGAATTATTAAATGTATTCATGTATACTGAAGCAAATAAAATATGTCTATATGGATATAAAGATTTGATTGCTCATTCTTAATTATGTGTATAGAAGGTTCTTTTTAAATGGAATATTTATCACAATGTAATGATGATTTTATGAGTTTGAACAAGCTAGACCTCATAATTTTTTTTTTCATTTTACATGCTGAATACTATCATTTAGTAAAAAAATGTATTTCGGAAAAAAAAGAAAATGGATCGTCCGGGAATCCAAGCCGGGACCTCTCACATGCGAAGCGAGAGACATACCACTACACCACGGAACTTCTGTTCATTGCTAAAAACTATATGCAAAAATGAAGTCACATACATGTATACACTGTATATTCACGTTCGATATTGTCAATTTTTACTTAAAGGTACTTGGACACAGATTTGAAGTCAATATTTTTTCTATAATATTACGACATATATATTTTAATAGCATTTCACACAAAAATTAATTAAAAATCTTATTTCATTTGAAAGTTATTAAAACTTGAAATTTTTTGGAGGGCTTGATTGACACATCCTTGCACTTATACAAATTTTAACCTTATTCTTAATCCTTAGGAAAAGTGGCAATCTTGTGGTGTATTAATGAGAAATATTAAAACTTCTATCCAGAGAAATAGTTTTATTCCGAGTACAAATGTTAGAAAGCAAAACTCTCTCACATTCCTAACTAAGGGTTGCTTACAGAGTTTAGCAAATCGAGCACACTCGTGGTATGTAAACAGTTTTTGTAAACAGGGCTCGAGTTCTGTTATTGTTTATATTTAGAATTCACCGGGTGCGTTCAATCGTCACAGTCTGCTTACCACAACTGCACGGACTGACAATATATCGTGTGTTTGTTTTGCTTTCGAACATGTCTACTCTGAATTTTCTAGATTATAGTATTAATAATTTAATATTTTTCATATATACACAACGAGATGGCCACTTTTCCTAAGGATTAAGAATAAAATTAATTTGTGAATGTGCAAGGATGTGTTAATCAAACCCGCCAAAAAAATTTGAAATTTTAATAACTTTTTTCTGAAATAACATTTTTAATTAATTTTTGTGTGAAATGCTATTAAAATATATAGGTCGTAATATTATAGAGAAAACCATTACTTCAAATCTGTGTCCAAGTACCTTAAATGCATGATGTCTTATTTAACCTTTATTAAACAGTTCTAATACATGTAATAAGAATATAAAGTCCGCCGAGAACCTGTTTTATACGTAATAACTTTTCTCATGTCCCTGTGCTAAAAATAGCGACTGTTAATACAATAAATACCAATAAAACAAACGGAGCGGGACACTTTGAGAGGGGTGAGAGACGTCCTAAGGAGTTTTGGTATAAAATTACATTGCAAGAGCTTAAAATCTTCTTGAAAAATATCGCCCGGAAAGGATAGTGTTACACACAGACGGAATGTATAAATTTACAACCTTGAAATTTTTACCTTTTGACCTCAAAATTAAAAGGGGTCTTCCTTAGGCCACAGGGAGTTGTTACGGAAAATTTCATTGCAAAAGCTAAAAGGGTTCTCGAGATATCGCGCGGAAACGAAAGTGTTATAACAGACATAATTTGCAAATTTATGACCTTGACCTTTGACCTTTTGACCTCAAAATGAATAGGGTTTTTCCTTAGGCCACAGGGAGTTGTTAAGGAATATTTCATTGCAAAAGCTCAAAGGGTTCTCGAGATATCGCGCGGAAACGAAAGTGTTATAACAGACAGAATTTGCAAATTTATGACCTTGACCTTTGACCTTTTGACCTCAAAATCGACAGGATTCTTCTTTAGTCCATAGGGAGTTGCTATGCAAAATTTCATTGCAAAAGCTCAAGGGGTTCTCGAGATATCGTGTGGAAACGAAAGCGTTACAGACAGACAGAATGACGGACGGACAGACCCAAATTAATATCTCCCACTTTTCAAGCGGGGGACATGACTTGTTTAGAAATGCAGAAAGACTATTGATGTCGAATGTAACGTAAAATGGTGTGAAACATGTAAACATCATCAGAAATTTAAAGAAAAACGTCAATAAGAGAAATGATTTCTGTTACCTCTTACAGATTTGCTCTTTATTTAAAGAGTTTAACTCACCAAGGATTTTGATCCAAGCTGAAACTCGCCTATAAACCCCCCTCCAAATGGCAACTTGTCCGGAGTAATTGACTTGCTTTGGAAAATCTTCTGGCAAGCTACCATTTTCTGATATACATTTTGCTTGTGCGTCAAACCAACTCCGTGGATTTTGCATTCCTGTATTGATGTTTAATAGTAAAATTATTATCTTGATATAAATACATTTTTTGGAAGAATTAAAGAAACCATAGGATGACTAGTAAAACCAGTATGTAGAATCATTGGGGAAAAATTATAAAAAAAAAAATTAATAATAAAAAGAAACAAAAAAATACTATAAAATAAGCCATTATAGTTTATGTTTTAACAATCTATTGTAAACTGTTATTTTAATTTGGGAAATAAATTAAGTTTTTTGATGATGTTATTTTGTATCATTGGATTAATTTCAGTTTCTAGATTTCATTTTTTAGTTTTCAATCGTCAATATTGATTCAAGAAGGCAGGATGTGTACATGTAACTTATATTATAAATTGAATAAATAAAAAAAACATATTAGTTTTAGGGTGCATGATACATTATACTAGTATGTGGCAAAAATTGATTTTTGAACATATAAGCGTAGCTTCATTACAGCATCTTAGCATGTTCTTTTTAAAAATAATGTATGTATATTTCGGAAACGTTAAGCCATTGACTTAAATATGCAGACGTTGCGTTCTATTAAAGGCACTAAAATACAAAGCTACATGTAATACGTTAACGGAATCATAACAATTGCAAGGAAGTGATTTTTTAAGAAACTTGTTTTAAGTATTTAAAAAGTTTAATACTTTTTTCAAAGTACCACTTTTACTTGTACCAATTTCTTGGTTTATCAACATAATAAAGTATCTCATACACAAAATTATCGTTCAATATGTCAAGCCATGCAGTAGTTTACCATATTTACTGGAGTATTATTTTTCTTATATAAGCGAGACCATACATCTTTATATATATGCATTAGTGGTATATCTCTATTATATGAACACGCAGAGAGTAAATATATTCATATCTGCATGAAGTTTTTCACAGGTCATAGTCCAATACGTAACATTATTGAAAGACTGCATTTATCCTGTTGTAAAATTACCGTTGGTGTTAGGCGCAATACATGCCTTTATATGATTTATACAGAATTGGGGCGATATCCACTTATAAAACTAAAAACTAAACTAAAAATCATGAAGTCCTCGTGTAAATTATAAAAAACAGAAAACTGCATTTTAAAATCTTCATACGAATACCTGCGACATACAGAGAATATGTTGGGAACAAGTATAAACTGGGCGAGTGACGTAAAACTTGAATTATTTAAGGAATCACTGTCTAGGTAGTATAGGTAGTCCAGGTAGTATAGTATGCCGGGGCATCAACAATAGTGGGAACATGGGATAACGGGCATTTGCATAACGGGCGGGGGCCTGAACCTCCCCCCCCCCCCACTTTTTTTCCCAACACTACTTATACTATTGAAAATGTTCATTGAAAGGCTGTTGCCCCCACACTGTTTACTAAAGTAAAGTAATATGAAGGAAATGAAGTATTGTATGCAAAAAAGGGTAATGCATGGAATTGGTATATGTAAGTCTCCATAAACAATTGAGAAATCAATCTGGCACAAATGTACGATCTTCTGATAAGTAATTATTAACAAGTTTCAAAGAGCGTCTTTCTATTACATGGCATTGAAGTATGAAAACTTCCATTTCATTTATATACAAAACATTTGGCAATTTTTGGGGATTTTTTTTTCTTCTGTATTCATTTAAAGTTTTATACGGCGTTATTACTCTATCTAACTCATAGCGAACTGAGAAGGCCATTTTTCGTGTGTTGTGCCTTCACAGGATCAAAAATTGACCAAATGCATTGAACATTTTAAGAAGACAACAAAATAAATTGTGGAATTAAATAAAGATAATTCTTACCCTAATCTTATCTATTTAAATCTTTAATTTCAAAGCAATATTCCTGTATTCTCTTACAAAACCTTCGTTTTTTTGACCTTGCGCCGTAAGGCCTTACCCTGTGCACATTCAAGCATTCTAAAATCTATATTTTTGTGTATATTTTATCCAAAACATTATAATTATTTATAAATACTGAAAATTTATTATGGTGATCATCAATAATTTAATTAGTATTAGTATTTTACTTTCAAAAATATGACGTCTATGTATTCTAAATTTATTGATTTAGATAAAACTTACCTTCGCCCATTAGAAGAATATATACTTGACAGGCAAGTGCAAAATGTATCAGTTTCATATCCGTACATTTATCACTTCCTGGATTTGATTTTAAACATGCCAGTCTGATGATAACCTGTCTGTATTAACTGTAATATTTGTGTTATTAACGGAGAACAACACACTTATAATCGTAAAACGATTCAAAAATGTAAAATGATGAAAGTTAATTTAAAATCACAGATAGTTCAAGTTGCTTCATTTCCCATAGAAAGATCTTTCACGAGTTCTAAAATTTTAGTTTCAGAAACTCATATGTGAAAACAAAACAAAAAATAAAACGCCTTTACCTTACTTTTAAACACACCATATAATCGTGGAAATACTGCCTCTCAATCCGTAGTAAACGAAACAAAAAAAATTCATTATCATAAATACTTCCTGTATATACTTTTCATTTAAACATTACCTGCTGTGAAGGTGGTTATACAGTTCCGGTTGTGCAATTTTATTTGACCAAAATTTATTTATTTCAATATACATAGGGTCTCATGCATATAGAATAATGACAAAAGTATTATTTTGAATATAAAAACAGACTAAAACACCTGAATATACAAGGAAATTAACCTTAATAATGCGTTTTACTTGTTGTGCACCATGATGTGAGATGTTTAAGCTAAAACAACACTGATTTTTGTAAATTTGTCAATCTAATATTTGTTATAAGATCAAGAATTGTCAAATTTCAGAAAGATTACTTCTGTTTAGACTAATCCATACTTCAAAAAACAGTTCAAGATTATTTATTGGAGTTTTAAAATAAATAAAGAAGCTATATTTCTCAGATACGATATCAAATCAACAATTTGATATTAAACAAAACAAAAGAAAACAAACTGAAATTGAATTGCCTTATTTTCAAAACAGACATCAGTGTGAACAATATGCTCTTGCAGAAAACTTAAAGTGAGCAAGGCATACGTGCAGTAGAGAGGAAAAGAGAAGTGGGTTGGGACATTTGTAGGGAAGCGCAGTTTTTTTATTGACTGCGACAATGGCGTCTTTTGTTGATCAATCTTGTGCGTTCCCCGGGGCACTAAAAGTTAAAGTAAGTATAAGTGTTGTCTTGAAATCTATTCCATAGTTCCTGTACAAGGTTGAGAAAAATGTAAACTTTAGTAATTTCTGAGTAATTCTGCATGTCGCTTGAAGTGATTCTGAATTTAAGACATTGTATTTTTTTATAAGTTACATTACAAGAAAAACAAGAGTTGTTTGTGAAAGACTATGCGCCCGGCGGCAACAAAGTTAAAAAACATTATTTTAAGCATATAGGTCACAGTCAAGCTCACAACGTCATTGATCTTGGTGTCATTTGAAAGAAGCTGATTAGTGAAGAATGCATACCAATTATGAAGTCTCTATCTCTCATGGTTCAAAAGTTATGGTGAAGGTTCAAAAAAGCTATTGTTAGCATATAGGTTACAGTCAAGATCACAAGATCATTGACCTTGGTGTCATTTGAAAGGGCTTAATTAGTGGAGTATGTATGCAAAATATGAAGTCTCTATCTTTCCTTGTTCAAAAGTTATGGCGAAGGTTAAAGTTAGCCGACAAAAAGCTATATTTAGCTGAGAGGTCACAGTCAAGATCACAAGGTCATTGACCTTGGTATCACGTAAAAGGGCTTAATAAGTGGTGTATGCATACAAAATATGAAGTCTCTATCTTTTATGGTTCAAAAGTTATGGGGAAGGTTAAAGTTTGCCGACAAAAAATATTTTTAGCATATAGGTCACAGTCAAGGTCACAAGTTCACTGACCTTGGTGTCATTTGAAAGAGCTTAATCAGTAAAGTATGTTTACCAAACACGAAGTTTCTTTCATTCATGGTTCAAACGTTATGACGAAGGTTAAACTTTGCAGACAAACAGACAAACAGATAAACAGACAGACAGACAGGACAAAAACAATATACGCCTCGGATCTTTCGATCTAGGAGCATAACAAATGTAATGACGATACTGGGATACATATTTTCATATTTAAAAATACCCATATATTTATCTGCTTAATGTTAGAATAGGAAAGATCTTTATTAAATTCGTTATTTTTTTTCTTTTTGGACAGGGTTACGAGTACTCACATTAGCTTAGGAACACGATTGCCTTGACAATATTATAATTAGGCATATTGTGACAAATACAGTATATCAGGACTTTTTTTGAATTGGTGCATAAAAGATATTGCGTGTCATATATCATACATGTATGTCTAGTCGATCAGATGTGCTTTCGCAACATTCTTGGATTTCTATGGTTACATAATTTTGGTTTGAACTCCCTTATACATTAAATTTGAACCTCTCCTCTGTCTATCTTTTTTCTTCTTTCAATCACTTGATGCAAAATGATGTTTTGCACATTATTGCAGCAGAGAATTCAACAAAGTTTTCAATACAAATATTTCCTTGTAGAAATACAGTGGGTGAAATGTTCTTCAATTTCGACTGGCGCAGTGGTTAGAGCTTCTGCTCTAGTGTTGCGGAATAAGAAGCTGATTCTAACGTCGTCCGTTCGAATCTGACTGTGGGACATGGAGTCCGATCCTTCGGAAGAGACCGTATAAACCGAGGTCCCGTGTCGCAGTAAGTGCTGGCACGAAAAAGACCCCTCAATGCTAAACGGCAGTATAGGTCAGAATTTGTAGCCCTAACCATCAAGTGATGGCCCCTCCATTTGAGTGAAAAATTCTTGAGAGAGACGATAGTGAATTATAATACAATATTAACGGTACTCTAGAAAATAAAATCATATTTAGGGCTAGAAAGTTTTTGTTCATTGTCAAAATGCATTTATGAACCTTCACATTTACAAATACTCTCCTCTGGTGTTTCTCAGACTAATTTCAATCAAAACAGGGCCATACTGTAAAATCTCTTCTCGAAAAAGTATTATAGAAATCTAAAAAAGAAAAACAGTTATATAAGCATAGGCACATTTCGATGGCTACATGTATAGCTCTTTGACTGTTGTCTGTCGTCGTTTGCGCTGTCGTAAACTTTTCACATTTCATCTTCTTCCCATAAACCACTGTACCAAATTCGACTAAACACAGTGTTCTTAGGTAAAGGAAAAGTTTATTCAAATTAAGTGCTACATTCTCTTCTTACAGAGATAACTGTGAAATAGTGTAAAATGGATGGTATATTTAAAAATCTTCCAAAGAACTACTGAGCTAGAAAAGATGAAATTTATGTGAAATCTTTTTGACATAATGTAGATTCAAGCTTGTTCAAACCTAATTTGCAAACTAAATACTACGTGAGACCGATGTGATGACCTTAATTACTCTCCATCATTACTTCACTTATCTATGCATTTCACTTTACCTGCATCAATTTTTTTTGTTTATGGTTTTTGTGAAGAAATACCTAAGAAAGACACTGACAAACTTCCTGTCAAGCAAATGTTAAATAAATATATTTTGATTGACAAAGAACTCCAGTATCAATACCTGATGACGATAATGGTATACCTCAGGCTCAGGTATTTTCTTCAATATCCAAAACAGGTTAAAGATTTCAATCAAAAGATACATGCAATGTTAAGTGGTTTTCTAAAAGATTCTTCTCCTTAACAAGATATTCGTGAGTGATTAAATTTTGTATTTCAATTACTACTTACAAATATACTTATCATAATGAATAAGATTTTAGCTGCAGTGAAACAAAATGCACTAATTTTAAATGTACACTATTTATTCATGAAAGACATTTCTTAATTACACGATATATTGTAACACTGAAGAAAAAAACGTTTTGAAAGTCTTGATTCCTAAGAAACCAAGCTATCCATAGTTAATACATAATTCTATTTCGGAGAAAGTAAAAATCCAGTAAAGCTGTTTCCACAGTACTGAATATCGACCATCTCGGCATTATTTGGATGTGACTTAATGCACACTCGGTCATTTTTCTGCAATGAGAGAGTCACCATATTGCTTCCCGTATCGAAATATTCTTCATTTACTCCCGCTATTGCTTCAGCCACATGATTATTATTGACATATAGAAATATCTTCAGTCTTTTTTTACGTGTCACTTCGACAGAGAAGAAAAAGGCGTAATTTCCAGCCACTGGCGCCGTGAATACTCCTGTTTCAGAATCGTATCCGCCTCCTACGTTATTCAGTACCCTTTTTAAGATAATTACCTCCCCTCCTCTAGTGATTGTTTGACTAACATTATCGTCTGCAGTTGCTGAAAAGGTCACAGCTTTCTCATTCACTAGAAAATGATAAATATGAAATATGAAAATCCCCAGGTTCCATTTATAATTAAAACGCCGTCTGTAATATCAAAATCCTATATTTTAATTGCTGTATAAAGTGTAGAAACGTCGCACATTTTAATGTTATTGTCTCTAGAAAAAAGTTTGTTGATTCTAAATTTTCTAAAAGCAGAGTCTTTTTTTAAGTTTCAGAATCCACATATAAATATCATCATTTTTAAAATATATTGTAGCATTGTTGTTCCAAAATATCTTATTTAGACCACTTTTTAATTTTGTAATATAATCAATAGAGTTACTTACAAACGAAATTCATAAATAAAAATATAAACAGAGAAGAAGCTACTCTACGTAAATTTTACTTATCAGTAAGTTCTGGATTATATAGATTGTATTATCTAACAGAAATAAAATACATTTCCATACACTAAATTGACATATCGGGGGGTTGGGGATGGATGAGGGTGGTATTTATGTTATCAGAATGCTTTAAAAACATATTAAATCTATATTTTTAAAGTAATAAAATCAAACACATATATAACAATATAATATCTATTTAAGTAGTTAATTAATTAGTATTTAGTTCTACATGTTGACATTCTTATTTCCAATTCTCTTACATTTAAAGACAGTAGGACGGGTGCATGATAAAACATTTATTGACTATATATAAAATGTTTCTATAGTCTGATCAATACAGATGGCTCGTAACGAGTAGGAAATTTCTACATTTAAGAGATTTCTACACCTACTTTGCACCAGATCCCACCTAATTTGTCTATGATGTTTCCAATTTGTCTGTGTTTTAGGTTTTGACTCTTTTCAATCTACCTTGGTCATAACAATTTCACTGTACTCTAGAGGCTTGTTTTGTAAGTTTTTCATTAAGCTTAGCAATTATTCTATTTTTTGTATGTCAATTAAGTTGAAAAAAAAATTGAAGAAATATCTCATGTTATGTGAAGAGTACTCACATTGACTCTCTTCGGTGAGAAGAACCATTTTCTCTTGTAGTCTCAATATATCTCTTTCTAGCTTCCTCATCTTTCTCTCAAAACCACTATTTTCTTCTTTAAACTTGTACAAAATCTGATTTTTTGTATTGGGAATTGCTATAATAATGAAGTAGAAACTCAAATACAAAACCTTATGCAACATGTCTCTTTTTTCAGTTGTCAGAAATCAGCCTCTTTTTATAGTAACTTGTGTCATGTGATCATTAAAGTATTACATGTACTTATCGCATTACTTACATGTATGCATGCAAGCACATTTCCTTACTTTTAGTGTTCCTCGTTAACATTTAATGTGAATGATTCTAAAAATAAAACAACTAATAAAATAATTTCAACACAGCCTCTGGGTACAGAGTACTTTTAAAGAGGCTGAGTGGTCGTGGCCATTTTAGACTATTTTGATCTCCTAATAAAATGATCAAATTTTAAAACTAAAGTTTCTGAAATTTTTCTTTGCCAAATGATAGTGGACAGCTCAAGATATCATCTAAAAATTAGTTATATCTGGGGGTTAATAAAAAAATAAAAATCTGTGGACCCCCTAGCCTCCTAAAAATTGCTTTCAGTGTATTAAAAACAATGTTTCAAAAATACAGGTTTGCATTTGGTTGTCATAGACAAGGACATATTGTAGCATTAATATTCATATTATATCTCTCAGTTAATTTGATACGCAAGAACATGCTCTAAGTAAGAACAATTTCTAAAATGAGACAAGCTATTGACAAACAAGTTGATGAAACAAGAATATGAACAGCTAAGTAAAAGGCATCATTTTGCAAATTTTATGGTCAATACAATAACCTTGACACCATATACAATTTATCATTAAGTTAAATGTTGATGGACGTTTTTCATACTAATTGTAAGTCCACTGTGTACACACTGAATTGTCAACGATTTTTTAAGTCTTTCCCCCGATCACCACACATGTCATGTTCTAAATTTTAAAGGATGTATTCACTATGACAAAAGAATTTACCTAAAAGAGAGAACAATTTTCCGGAAAAGGGGACATTCAAAAATTAATCTTCATTTGTTGTTTTCTACCGTATATATTGTCTAAATTTTTCAAATGTATATTTTATACCTAATATTTATTATTTACAACTTTACAATAAACCTCCAAAGTTGGCCAAAACACCATTCTGTCCGTTAAAGCGTTGATTTTTGCATGTATTTTGGCTTGGAAGTCCTTCAGGGCAGGCCTGCCCCTAAAGAAATTGTGCTATTTTGATAGGTTTGGTTTTAAGGAATAATTTAAGATAGGATTTTTAGGAGCATCCCAGCCCTGGGGTCAATTTCAGAAAAAAACTACAAAAAATAAGGAAATCTGATTTTAATAATTTGGTTCAAATTTATACAACAAATGATCACAGTCAGACTAGCTCAGTTGATATTACACCATGGGTGCTTTCTTTTTAAAGTCAGGGGTTCGAAACCACCTAGTACCACACTTTTAAAGTTTGAAAATTTCGCCTTTTCAAGGACTATTATAATTTTTTGATAGACTTGTGTATTTTTCATCAATTATCTTTCCTTTATGCATGCTCATTCTTGATATTAGAAACACTAAAGAGATATCAAATCGTTACAATCCAATGTACAGTTGTCAGTCAGGCGGAACAAACCTCAGTATAAGCACACTTTCTCCGAGGACAAGAATAACTAATTCTGTGCTACACAACACAGATATTCTTGGCAGCACTGAGCTGCAATGAATTTCAAATGAATATATTCCGTAGAATTTAATCGCATTGATTTTGGCGACATATATCAGTAACAATACTCCCTTGGATTTCATTTAGGCCTATAAAATTCGCACATACGAGGGTTGTCCAAAAAGTTCGTGGACAATGACGTTTTTGTTAAAATAAATGGTTCTATATGCATCTATTGTATATCAAAATATTTCTTTTGAAAAAACAAGTCCGAATGATTTATTTTTTATTGATGAAACTTAATGTTTTTGTAGAGGTCGGGGTCTTAAGAGATCACAAAATCGGCATTGTCCACGAACTTTTTCGACAATCCTCGTATACAGTAAATGACATATTTTATTATATACATGGATAAATACTGTAGCGTAGATCTAAAGAGTATAATTTCAGAGACAGTAGATACTAATATTACCATTATGCACAATAAGAAGTAAAGACAAAGATCAGTTATTACATTTGGAGTTAACGAACTCGGAAAATCAACGAAAGAGTTCCTCCTACCTCTACTCACCGAAATAAAGATTTAGGAAAAGCAAATTAATATATGTATATATATGTATATCAGCCTAATGTCATTAATCGGAACCGTAATCGACAAGCTTTTTGTAGAGAAAAAAAACCAAGCCCGGCCCATAGGTCAGATCCCTATTTATAATGAAGTGATCCTTTACGGTCTGGATTGTCATGTTTTAAATTTCCTTCAGTCGGGTAAATTGAAAATTAGGAACACTACACAAGGATCAATAAAGAGATACTAACTCATCCACAGCACCTGATCCCACTCTGATTTTTTGGAGGTCCATGTTTGCTCTGCTGCTGGTTTTTGTTGTTGAATAGACTATTGAACTATTGAGCTTGAATACAGTTCGTTATCCCTATCGTTCATAAGTTTATTTTTGACTTTGTAATTATTTTTTCTGTCTTTGTTTATGTTTTTAATATATCTATTTCAAAAATTGTATTCTTTTTGTTTTTATCCAAAAATACAACCAGTTCATTCGTGTGATTGATCTTACGTTTATGTAACTTGTGTAAAAGTAAATTTAGGATGCGGAGAGATTTCGTTTATCCTGTTTGCAAATTATAAACGTGAAATAAAGTAAAAACAATACGTTCGATAACTATTCTGTTTCCAATATCATGCATCAAAATAGAACTTATTATCATTTTCATCTCCATGTTTAGATATAAAAGCCTTGTCAAAAAGATAAAACATTACAAGTATTTTGTCGCCTAAAATATTCAAAACTTTCTAGTTGCAAGATAAAAAATACATTTTTCGTCCCCGAAAGGAAATATTCATACTCGATAAACACTTAAAAATACACTTCCAACTTTTTTTTACTGCATAACTGTAACATATTGAAAGATCGAAATTTTGATTACAAAATCCACAAATAGTTCAAAAATCTGTTTGCGTCATTTTGAGTACTGAATCTATATAAAATGTTTGTACTGTAAATGTTTGATACTAATCTTTGTAAGAGGAATACCATTCGACATCACTTGTGCAAGATGGATGGGACCTCATACCTTAATCGATTTTCCGGTATATTGTAAATCTCTTCTTGAAAAAGTGTTAAAGATATCTAAGGAAAAAAAAACAGTAACTGTTATGAAAATCTTAAAGCCTACACTATCAAAATTGAAATCATCATAATTTGTTTTTTTAGTTAAGGCACATTTCGATGGTTCGTGGCTTTAGCTCTTTGTCTGTTGTCTGTCGTCGTTGGCGCTGTCATAAACGTTTTACATTGCATCTTCTTCCCATTAACTGCTGTACTGGGTAAAGAAAATTCAAGTTCGTAAAAATAAAGGGCCACACTCTCTTTAATAGAGGTAACTATGAAATAGTGAAAATGGGTAGTATATTTAAAAATCTTCTCTGAAATCACTGAGATAGGAAACATAAAATTCATATGAAAGGTTTTTGACATAATATAGATTCAAGTATGTTCAATTCATTACTCCTGGGGGGTAGGAGTGGGACATAATGGGTGATCAAAGTTTTAAGAAGGATTACATAGAAAAAATCTTTAACATTCTTCCCGAGAAAAGCGAAGAAGTGAGCATTGTTCATGTTTATATGAAAGCATCCTAGTATAGTGTAGATTCAAGTTTGTTCAAATCATAATCCTTGGGGTAGAGTGGGGCCACAATGGGTGATCAAGGTTTTACGTAGGAATACATAGTTAAAACCGTTTAAATTCTTTTCAAGAACAACACAGCCACGATTGATCATCAATATAAAAGCATCAAAAAGGCAATGTAGATCCATGAGATAGAGGAGCATTTAAAGTGATCATAGTTATACAAAAGACTATAAAGGCTATATCAATAAAAAAAATGCATCTGATAAGCAGCAAAGTCATTATATATCATATTTTTAAAGTCATCTGTAGATAGTATAGATATACGTTTGTTCAACCCCCTTCCCTATTTAATATTTCAATGCTGAACTGATTTCTGCTTTTTAATTACCTAGCCAGTTACTCGGGTGAGCAATGGGCTCCTGAGCCTCTTGTCAAAGTTGCAATTGCACCCCAAATATCCCGTTTCGACAGCCTTTCGGCACCTAAAATAGATCTAGAGATTCCCATAGTCTTCCATTTCTATTTTAGATAAAATGCTACCTATCAAACATTAGTTCCAAACTAAAAACTATATAAGACCGATGTGATTATCTACTTAATTACTCTCCATCATTAGCTTCACTTATCTATATAGTAGTCTAGAGTAATGCATGTATTTCACTTTTACCTGAATCAATTGTTTTGTTTACGGTTTTGTAAAGAAATACTTCGGAAGGAAAATGTTCCTGTCCAAACAAATGTTAAATAAATATACAGTGAAAACTGTCTAATCCGACAACTGATTAATCCAACACACGGTGATTTACGACGTTAATTTTCTTTCCCATTTTAGTATTTTCCTTGTTTTCAACATATTAGCAATCAAACGCCCTGTCTATTCCAACACAAAATTTGTCTCCCAGTGCATGTCGGATGAGAGAGTTTTTATTGTATCATATATTGACAAAGAACTCCAATATGGATACCTGATGCAGAGAGTGATATACCTCCGCCTACTCAGGTATTTTTTTTCAATACCCAAAAATGGCAGTCGATTTCATTCAAAAGATAATGTTAAGTGGTTTTCTAAAAAATCTTTTTCTTTACAAAATACTAGTAAGAGATTAAATTTTATATTTCAGTTACTACTTACAAATACGTAAAAGAACAAATTTTTGTGGGGATAAAATTTCATTGATTTGCCATTAAAAATGTTTCGTGGTCATTTTATTTCATTGTTTTGAAAGTTACTCTATTCAATTAATAGTCATATAAAATTTCGTGTGGGATTTAATTTCGCTCATAATTGTAAACAACGAAATAAACGAAATTTAATCCCCCACGAATATTTGTGCTTTTATAG